GAGAGAGAGAGAGAGAGAGAGAGAGATTGGAACATGTTTTTAATTTTTACCTGAGATAAGCTTTATCAGAGACAGATTATTTTAAGGCACCTGTTTCTTTTACTAGTTTAGCATCCAGGAGACACAGGTGATCAATTGCTGAGAGCATTTAACAGTACTAGATTGTTATATTAAAGTCTGTTTTTGCAGAGCCCAGACACTTTTAGATCTGGGGGTGTAAATACCTTTTAACTGTTACTGTTTCTTTACCACCTAGGTATATATTTCATGATCCTTGGACTCTGGCTCTATGGTAATCCTGTAACAATTAGCTGAGTAGTTAATTAGAAGAGGGAACCAGGAAGAGAAAAGCTTGTGGGGTGAGACCTCAATCTTCTGGAATTGGTGACAAGGCAGTGGATCCTGACGTCCTCTGGGACTTGAGAGAGAGCCGGGCCCTGTCTGTGTCCCCATGCATGAGAAGCCCTGCTGGCCGGTCTGGAGGGAGGCACATGGAGGAGCAAATGAACTGAAAACTCCTACCTTACCTGGAAATCTCTTCCCATTAAGTAACCCTGGAAGTACAATTAAGTCTGGTGAGGTGGGTAAGGCTATCCCCCTACCCAGACAATAGGGAAATGAGGAGAGGTGGGACCCCAAAACTCCCTCAGGACTGAGTAAGTGGCTCCGGTGTCCAGAAAGAAGGAGTTAGGTCACCCAGATATTATTACTACTACCCTGGGTTCCCTGTGTGAGATGGGAGTGACCAGTGGCCCTTCTAGCATAGTTTCGGGCAAGGCCCTATGGGCGCCCCCCACTGTGGGGCAGTGGTGCAAGTCCGAGCCCAATGGACTTCTTTTCCACACTTAAACAGGGACCCGGCAGCTTTCGGGGAGCTAGTCGGATAGCGTGTACCAACATTTGGCAGTTTTGTTTTTGTTTTTTGTTTTGTTTTGTTTCATCTCTCCCATGGTACACTTTAAATGCCACCGCTAACACTTCTGCCTGTGGGGTCAGGAGCCTTGCTCTCCAGATGCTTAAGTTTTAGTCCTAAGGTCAGGGAGCTTTGCGAGACAAGAGACAGATTTTATTCCGTGTCTTGAATTTTTTTTTTTTTTTTGTTGTTGTTGTTGTTGTTGTTGTTGTTGTTGATAGTTTGCTGACTTGAGGACAGGAAGACCTGCCAGGAGGCAGGCTGTAAACTGATTTCTGGCTAAAGAGTCATCCGGATTATTGTGATCCCCATGTAGGTCCTGGTTGTAAACTTATTTGCATGCATCCTAGCCTGCTTCCAGACCTGTCCGTGCTTAGCGGCCCATCTGGTACCAGAAAACAGATAAGATAAGGTTCTTTGGAGTCAGAGATTCCTTGGTTTAGGAATGTAAGTGGGCAGGAGAGAGAGAATCAGAAAGGAAGGGTTTGGAGCTTAGGTAAAAGTGTGGGGATAAGGTAACTCTCTTCATTTGTCCGTTCGCTGGCAGAAGTTAGATAATCCTGTGAAATATTGGGGTTCAAGCAGCCATTACACAGCCAAATTTACTGGTATCTGGGGATATTTAAGGCATTTGTCAGAGGTCGAGTGGAAGAAGCCTCCATGTCCCATGACTGCAGCAAAGGGAAAAAAAAAATTAAAAGAACAAACAGGATCCCAGGCTCCCGTCTCAAGTGTCCTTGAGGATAGGCAGTCTGTGGACTGGCATTAACAGCACAAATTACCCAAACCGCCGTCACAGAAGGGGTAAGGGCTGGGCATATGTACCAGAGGACCCCCTGGGAGTCCAGACAGCATTCAAAACTTAGTCAAGAGAGAGAGAGTATCGTGTTACAGAGCAGAGGACCCCTGGTGGTCCAGGAGGAATATATCTCAGGCTACAGTCACGGGAAATGACAGGGCATCAGAAAGGGGAAACTCACCAATCTGGTTAGCCGGTGTGTTGTGAGGAGTGGTCCCCAGGCTGGGCAGATGAAAAAGTGGAGCGGGCAGTCACAGTACAGGATTCAGGTCGCAGAGCCCGGGACACAGAGCTCTGGAAGAGCCTGTCTCGTTACAGCACCAATGATAAGCAGTGCTGGTTACCATGCAGAAAGGTCATGAGGCACGAGCCATGACGAAACCCAGTATCGGAGCTTTATTGGGGGGAGGGGTGGCACAAAAGACCCAGGCCTGGGGGAGAAGCACGTGCAGGGAGCAGAGAGAGGGGGAGGGGGGGGCAGGAGAGAACAGAGCAGAGGAAGAGTCTGTGTCTGGCTTTTTAAGGCACAGGTGGGCTTATGGAGCTACGCCACACGTGTGCAGATGGCATGACCACGCCACACGCATGCAATCACCAGCGCGAACTGATGTAAGACGCAAGACCCCTTGCTTAGCTCCTGAACTGTGCATGTGCAGTCATGCAGCTGGAGTGGGGGCAGAATCCTAACATTATGACTCTCACAGCATGTACACACACACACACACACACACACACACACACACACACACACACACTCATGCAGGCACACACACACCACAGAATTAAAAACTGTAATGAAAATTTAAAGGCATTGTAATGATAATAAGGTACAGAAACTTTTATGTTAGTAACATTTAAAATTTGGGCTAGATGTAGTGGCTCACACCCATAATCCCAACATTGGAAGGCTGAGGCAGGAGAGTTTCTACTCATCTAAGGACAATCTGGAGTACATTGTGAGACCTTGTCTCAAAAAACGAGGAAACAATATGGAGAAATATAATTGACGTTTTCTGAGCAGTAAATGCAATATAATGACTTTAAAACCCGTGCATGTGCAAAAACAATGTGTTCATTACTGAAAACATCAGTCTTCACAAATACTTTGAATTTTGCTTTAAAAGGCCATAGTTATATGGGATTAGCACAATCTTGATAAGAAACAAAGCTACAGACATACTGTATTACTGGAAAAGGCCTGGACAGAGCTACGTGACATACACTTCCGGTCTCTTCTCTGTAATGAAGCTGCAAACCCAACACAGAGTTCATGGAGAAGACAAACTTGGAGTCTGTAAAGTACGAAGATCAAACTGTGAAGAATCAATCTTGGGGCCTGGAGAGGAGGCCTAGTCCTCAAGGCCCTGCTGCTCTTCAGAGGACCAGACTTCCATTCCAGTCCCAGCACCCATACAGTCTGGCTTATAACTACTTGTAATTCCAGCTCCAGGGGATCCAGGGCCTCTGTGGGCACCTTCATACATTCATACACACATATAAATAAAATGTTAGGCCGGGCGTTGGTGGCGCACGCCTTTAATCCCAGCACTCGGGAGGCAGAGCCAGGCGGATCTCTGTGAGTTCGAGGCCAGCCTGGGCTACCAAGTGAGCTCCAGGAAAGGCGCAAAGCTACACAGAGAAACCCTGTCTCGAAAAACCCAAAAAAAAAAAAAAAAAAAAATGTTTATCTAAAAAATAGACAAAACAACAACAACAACACACACACACACACAAACAAACAAATAAGGCCAGGTATGGTGGTGTACACCTTTGTCCCAGCACCCAGGAAGCAGAGGTAGGTAGATCTCTGTGAGTTCAAGGCCATGCTGATCTATAAATGAGCCAGGGGACAAAGATATTTGGGGAATTCAAAACACCTGAAAAACAACACATTTTGAGCCGAGTGAAGGAAAACAGCACTTGTGAGATGAAGTTAAAGCTTTGAGTGAAGCTTGTGGTATTTAAACGGTAATAGTAAGGGGAAATATCTTGACTAAGATTCCAGTTTAAACTGGAAAAAAAGAGCAGTGTGAGCACAAAGCAAGAGGAAAATGAAGAGGTTCGCAAATAATAAAAACAGATAAAGCTAGAGAAGCGAGGTGTGGAGACTCGTGCCTGTGATACCAGCTCTTGAGAGGTGGGAGCAGAAAGGTCAGGAGTTCAGGGTCGTCCTGTCTCCAAAACACCCAGCAACAGCAAGACTAGAGAAATCAATGAAATCAAAAGCTGGCTCTTAAAAAAGAAAAAACAAAACAAAACAAAAACCGTCTCTAGCCAGACTCTGGGCTAGAAAGAAGGGAAGAAACAAAAAAGACAAAGACACTATAAATTATCAGTACAGAAATGAAATTCCCTGCAAACTAATGGTTAATAAGAGAACACATGAACAACTCCACATGCATGGATCTGACAAACTGAGTGAAGTAGAAGAATTCTTTAATTATCATAAACTACCCACTAGAGATAAGACAAACTATCTGAGCAGGCCTATAACTATTTAAGAAATTCTGTTTGCAAGACCTCATGAAGATCACCTGCGGTGGTTTGAATGTAATTGGTCTCCATAAGCTCATAGGGAGTGGCACTATTAGGAGGCGTGGCCTTGTTGGAGCCAGAGTGTGTCACTGTGGGAGTGGGCTTTGAGGTGTCCTTTGCTCAAGCTACACCCAGTGTGGACACAGACTCCTTCTGCTGACTTCTGATCACGATGTAGAACTCTCAACTCCTTCTCCAGCATCATGTCTGCCTGTACACTGCCATGTCCCACCATGATGATAATGGACTAAACTTCTGATATGTAAGCCGCCCCAATTAAATGTTTTCCTTCATAAGAGTTGCCATGGTCATGATGTCTCTTCACAGCAATAGAAACCCTAACTAAGACACCACCCCTAGCTCAGGAGCTATTAGCAGTGATGGCTGCTGGAGGGAGAGTCAGTTCAGGATTGAATGTGGTACACATATATACTTGCCAGCCAAAGTGTCCATAAAATAATAAAATAAAATAAAATAAAATAAAATAAAATAAAATAAAATAAAATAAAATAAAATAAAAACGGATACAACTAAAGAAA